CTATTCTCATATTTTGAATCACACCAGGATATTCTTTATAGCTCAATGCTTCTTTGTTTCTTTCCCCCCATGGCTGTATAATATTTCCTAAACATTGGAAACACCAGCTTCTTCAACCATTTATTAGTGATGCTGTGTTTTTTCATAGCAGACAATAGCACAATAGACTGTTTTGTATATTCATAAATAAAAGCAAATGTGAGTTTGTAAATTCTTTTTTAAAAATTAGTTTAAATTTTTTTTTATTATGGACAGAGGGGTTACAGTTAATGTAAGTGAGGTAATGAGTATGTTTCTTTTTTTATTGTGAAAATACTGTACAGAGGGGTTACAATTACATGGGCAAGATAATGAGTACATTTTTTCTTCTTCTTCTTCTTCTTTTTTTTTTTTTTGGGTCCGGTCGTGGGGTCAGAACTCTGGGCTTGGGCGCTGTCCCTCAGCTCTTCAGCTCAAGGCTAGCGCTCTACTACTTGAGCCACAGTGCCACTTCCGGCTTTTTTCTTTTTGCTTATGTGGTGTTGAGGAATCGAACCCAGGGTCTCAGGAATGCAAGGCAAGCGCTCTACCACTGAGCCACCTTCCCAGCCCCATGAGTGCATTTCTTTTCTTTTCTTTTTTATTGTGAAAATACTGTACAGAGGGGTTACAATTAGATGGGCAAGATAATGAGTACATTTCTTATCAAGCATTGTAGCCTCCTCCTTTGTTTCCCCTTCCCATCCCTTCCCATCCTCCCCCTCCCCCCTCACCGAACCTTCCTCCCCCCCCACCAAAGTTGTAAAGTTCATTTTAGACATAACGACTTCTACATCTCATTGTTGCAATGGGTCCACCTGTATCCCTAGTTAAATGATTTGTTTTTGCCCTTCCCCTCGACAAATTATACCAACATCAAATACAGTGAAAGCAGGGGTTATACCGTGTGAGAGGGACATACAAAGCAACATAGAAATTGAACTAAACCAGGCCCAAAGAAACATAGGTCCCATGGTTTCCCTTATTTGCAATAACTAGTATATGTCTGAGCCAAGCAGAAAAGATCAGTTAAGTTGATGTTAGGGAAATGAACCCTAAGATATGAGTACGTTTCTTGTCTGACAATGTCAACCCTTTCCTCACTCTCTCCCAGTTTTTCTCTCCAGACCCCAGTCACAAGTTGTACAGTTCATTTTCAACATAGTGTCTAGTGAGTTTGTAAAATTTCACAGATACTAGTGAATTACTTAGGTGACTGAGTTTTAACTCCACCCTTGTGACCTGAAGGTTCATTCTGCTATCCCCTCAGTTGCACTGCAAGAACCCTACATATATGGAAATGAGACTTAATTTTTTTTATCGTGAAAAATTTATTTCACTAATGAGTAGGAAGGAACATGTGAGAGGAATACAATCTCTGTATTTAGTGTCTAAAATGATTCTAATTTAACACTGGGTTTCATTTAATTATCTTAGGATATATTAGCCCAGTGTTTTGTTGGCGAATATCAAGTGATTAATTCTGAAAGCCAATTATGATATTACCATCCTTGTCATTTACTGATTTTGAGCCCTTGGTTTAAATTTTCTTAAATCTACCACTATACTATCCAAGCAACATATGATTTATTGTTATTGTGAGACACAAATATATTATGTTATTGTACCCCTTTTCTTTTCTTCCCTCCCTCCCTCCCTCCCTCCCTCCCTCCCTCCCTCCCTCCCTCCCTCTCTCTCTCTCTCTCTCTTTCTTTCTTTCTTTCTTTCTTTCTTTCTCTCTCTCTCTCTCTCTCTCTCTCTTTCTTTCTTTCTTTCTTTTGTCAGTCTTGAACTCTGGGTCTGGGCATGGTCCCTCAGCTCTTCAGCTCAAGACAAGTGCTTTACCACTTGAGCAACATTGTCACTTCTGATTTTTCTGGTGGTTAATTGGAGAGAAGAGTCTCACAGGCTTTCCTGCCCAGGCTGGCTTTGAACCATGATTTTCATATCTCAACCTCCTGAGTAGGTAAGATTACAGGCGTGAACCATCGATGCCCAGCTTTGTACCCCTTTTCATTGGTTCTTGAATAACAGCAATACCTGCATGCAATCTTTTCCAGAATGAATAGATATTTTCTAGCTTTGAACGTGACATTTTGTTAATTTTTGGTGCCAGTCCTGGGACTTGGACTCAGGGTTGACACTGTCCCCAAGCTTTTGTCCTCGAGGCTCTACTACTTGAACTGGACCTCCACTTCTGGCTTTTCAGTAGCTAATTGGGAATAGGAGTTTCATGGACTCTCCTGACTGGACTAGCTTTGAACTATGACCCTCAGATCTCAGCCTCCTGAGTAGCTAGGATTATAGGCTTGAGACACTGGCTTGTCGCATTTCAATATTGCTACAAGAAATACCAATGTTGACATTTGCTGAGTGTACATCAAAATGATAAATAGTTTTGCTCCAAGGGAGGCAATAAAGAGGACAGGTCATTTTCCCTTCAAGATGAAATCATTTATTTGACTTCATTATTTTATTTCCTTTATATCTACTACTGCCAAAATGAAGATGGAGGAGAAAATCTGACTAGAGCTAATTGAAGAAGTTTCATCAGCCCAAGTGTGAAACCGTATGGGTGATATCTGAATGTTGTATCACATTTTAAAAAATTTAATCATCATAGGTTTTTATTTTATTATCAAGTAGTGGTACAATGAGATCACAATTCTTAAATGGAATACAATGAATTTTGATCAATGTCACGTCCTTCATCATTCTCCCCTAGTATTTCCTACCCGTCCCTCAAGTTACAAGTTCAATTTTTACATAATTTGTATTTAATATAATGACTGCATTTGCTCACTCTTCCTTCCTCCATTTGTGCCCCTCCTACACATTGTTTTTATGTTTTTGTCTTGTTGGTCTTGAGGCTTGAATGCTGGGCCTGGGCGCTGTCCCTGCACTCTTCAGCTCAAGGCAAGCACTCTACAGCTTGAGCCACAGTGTCACTTCCGGTGTTCTGATGGTTTATTGGAGATAAGAGTCTCCTGGACTTTTCTTCCCAGGCTGGCTTTGAACTGCGATCCTCAGATCTCAGCCTCCTGAGTAGGTAGGATTACAGACATGAGACATCGATGCCCAGCTTACACATTGTTTTTAGTTGGGCATTAAACACTTGCAAACCTCTTTGATTGGATCCCATCTCTTGTTATTTGGATATGTCCTTAAAGAATTGATCAAATAAGATTTGTCTAAAACAAATAAGAAAATATACACACAAAGGAAGCCAAACAGAGAACCTTTTTCTAACCATTATCTAATTACTTGGTTCATTCACCTACTGTACAATCCAATGTTTCCTAAGAAAACTTCTTAAATTTAATTCCTTATAGTTCTGAGTCTCAATGAACAGTCTCTCATCTTGAAGGATTTAAAATTTATTGAATTGTCATACTGACTTTGAAACTAAATCTGTATTTTTATTTCCTTGTCCTTCATGATGAGTAAAGCTTAAGTTGCAATAAAAAATAAGGCTTATTAATACTAAATGCATTCACGAAAGCATGCATGCCTGTATACTTAAGAATGTGCTGATTTATATAGTTGTGATGTTACTTGAGGAGCTAGAATGCTCACTAGGAAAACTGGCTATTATTTTAGAATTTTATGCCATTCTGATTAATGGAAATTATTACTATGCTTTATATATAATTTCATAATCATGTCATTCAATCATCCTCTTTCTGCCATGGCTTTTAATTTTAGTCACTGAGGCAGAAACTTCTAGTTATTTACTTTATTTCTACTTCATTTTCTTTCTGTGAGAAAAGACTGATTTTCTTAAGGGCAACACTGTACCTAGTTTGATACCCACTTTATCATTTTATCTGGGAAACAAAGGTAGTTTGTGACACAGTTATGATCTGCAGGTGATCTCCTTGTGTGAGTTTTCTAAGAATCTGAGGCTTATGGTCTCTGAAATAAAGGCTTATTGAGCTGGTCAAGAAGCTATCCAAACATGAAAAGACTGGTCCCAGGATCAATCCCCAAAGTTACTGGTATGGCTAGTCAGCAGTTGGGAAAATATCCATGGGCTCTTAAGGGCCAGGATGTTTTATAATGGAATTCTGAGCAAAACAAACATAAATCATTTACCTCATACCCACACTCACTATTATTGAGAGGGGTAGGGCAGTGGAAATGGGAAAAATCCTGAGATAGAGGGTTTCTCTGTAAAGAGAAGTTTTTACTGCTTCTTATTTGGTTGGTGGGCCCTAAAGGAGAATGTGATGTGATGTGTCCTTGGAGCATGTGTGTGTGTGTGTGTGTGTGTGTGTGTGTGCAGGTAATGAGTTAAAATGGAGTTCTCATTTCTTTCCTTCCTGTGTGTTTCAAAATTTAGGACATCCCAGATTTCTTCTCCTATCACTCTTTAGAAAAGTATAACCTAGTGAACAAGGACATGTGGCTCTTTGTTCTTCACCATCCTTCTACCTAAAAATAGCCATGCTTCTGGAGTGGAGTAGGTTTCTTGCAATCAAACTTAGAAACATGAGAGGAGATACCCGGCTTCTAAAGAGGCAGAATGTATCCTGGGAACATCATGGCCTTGTACGTCATCTCCCAAAAGCAATAAAAAACAAAAACAAAAACACAAACAAAAACAACCCCCCCCCAAAAACCTGATTGTTACTTGAGAAACATAAGCCTTGTTTTTAGTCTATTCTTTGCTAGATTTTCAGTTGTAGCAAAATCCAGACTGATATTGTTACCAATGTAAATCAGTGAAAACTTACATGGAGTGGAAAATTAGGCATTTAAAAAAGCTTTTTTTTTTCCCCCCAAAATACATTTATTTTTAAAAACAAAGTCAGATAAGCTTTACACAGTCAAATTTTCCAGACAAACCAGAATTTGGGTTCCAGCTTGTGTGTGTTACACATCAGTAATTTCATGCAAACATGATTTCTCTCTGCAGGAGGTAAAGCATTCTGCTTCACTACAAGCATTCAATGCTCTAAAACTGATTTGTACTTCTGCCATCATTTTATTCCATGCCAGGGTTCTGGCATTCAAGAAAATCCATCTAAAATTCAAAATTACCAAACTGAGATGCGCGATTGTTGGGCTTGGGCTGGGGTTTATAGCCAATTCGATCATTAATCATTTGTTCCCGGCTTTTGGGGTCACTGTTGAGCCCAATGGCTCCTTCTCCATCACTGCTTCCCACAACATCCACATCTTCCTTCTGTTTCTGATGGGTCTCCAGATCTTTTCGAATACTCTCAAACTCTTCAATGTCATCAAGCTTTAGCTCCAGGCGTGTTGGTTTTCGTCGCAGCATACTGAAATCAACACCAAGCCAGGCCCAGTGAATTCAGTTCCTGCCCGTGACACATTTCCGCTTTGCTGGGCGCGCAGTGGACGGTCTGGATCCCAGAGCGCGGTTTTCAGCTGGGGCCTAGTGGCTCCGGAGCCCGGCATGGCCTCCCCACGGGCCTCCTCCACGGTACAGAGTCCAGGGTCTCAGCCTGTGCCGGCAGCAGCGCAGAGAGGGTTGGGGGCCCGAGTGGAGGGGCCGTTACCGCAGGCTAAGGCGGTGCGGGGCCGGGGAGGAAGCCCGCAGCATCCGCCTGTTCCCCGCGCGCCTTGGTGCTGCTGCCTTTTGCAGTTTCTCTCATTCTAAAAAAGCTTTAAGTTACAAAATTTTATTTTATTTTTTTTTCTATTTAGATGTGTAATAGAAATTATGGAACTATTATTTGAAAATAAAAAAATTCTAGAGGGGCTGGGAAGGTGGCTCAGTGGTAGAGCGTTTGCCTTGCATGCATGAGACCCTAGGTTTGATTCCTCAGCACCACATAAATAGAAAAAGTCAGAAGTGGCGCTGTGGCTCAACTGGTAAAGCACTAGTCTTGAGTTGAAGAGCTGAGGGACAGTGCCCAGGCCCAGAGTTCAGGCCCCACGACTGACCAAAAAAAAAAAAAAAAATTCTACAAGGCAAAATAGAATTGTGATTTCCTTCCAGAAAAAACTGGACAATGAACAACTACTAGGCTAAACCAATTTTAAGGCCTTACTATAGTAAAGATACTTACAGTAGAGGTGGCTGATGTCCATAACCAAGTTGAAATGAAGAGCAAATACAAATGTAGCTTTATTTCAAATGTTAAGGTTCATAGTCCTTTTTTTAAAATCAGAAAGTAATATATACTACCCAAAGAACATCTGCAGAAGAAAAAAAAAGTCATTTCAAATTTTAACATCAAAAAACATTACTGACATTTTGTGAGTTCTGCCATTTTCCTTTCTGAAACTGGAAATGCTCTACCACTGAATTACAACCCCATAAGAATTTTATTTTTCTCATGCAGACATTTGTTATTGCTGTTTATATAACTTGGATCACAGGATTATTGAAGCCTGTGTTTTCTTTCTTTTATAAACAATGTGTAAAGTATTAGAGTATTCTTATCATTGGAGATAGAGTCTGAAAGATTTTCTTACCCAGGGTGGCTTTGAGTCATGATTCTCATATTTCAGCCTCTTGGGAAACAAGGATTGTAGGTGTAAACCACCACTAGTGCCTGGTCCATTCTAGGCTTTCTGAAACTGCTCAGCTTATTCCCTGTGAATAGGCCCCAGGCTTATTCTTTCACCTGCATGGTTACACAGGCTCATTGATGGCTGTGAAGGGAGAGATCCAGGTGGAGTAAGAGATATTCATAGGTGAAGACAGAAAGGCTTGGAACCATTGTGGCCATACTAGCTTTTCTCTTCTCTGTGTTGATTGTAGAAGCCTCCTTTTCTCTTACCTAAACATTTAAGTCATGCTGAGGTTGTGCCAAACTTGCTGAATTTCAAGGGCTCTCTAGGAGAAGTCCCACCACTGACTTATTATAAGGATGGCCTGATCTTTTCCTTAGTTATATTACAAGATTTTTTTTTAGTGTATAAGATGTTGAACTGACCTGGTATATGTCTTGGAAAATTCATTATAAAGTTTTTCTAGTCCCTGAATGACTAAATGCAGTGACATTTAAATGCTGACTCCCTTTATAGCAAACTGAATAAATAACCTGTTTGTATTTGGGTGGTCTTTGCTTATTCCCACAAGCCATACTCCACTGACAATAGTTCATGCTGCACCATCGTCAAAATCATCATCATCACCATCACCAGACCCATCATAACCACCGTAACTGTTACCACCATCAACATCATCACCATCAAAGTCATCACCACCACAATTACCAATTTCATTATCATTACTGCCACTACTTATGCCTCCACCATTACCACCACCCATCACCACTACCATTGTTATCATTACAACCATCATCAACATCATAATCACCACTCCTACAACTATCATTACCCCACACCACTACCACTATTTCTACCACCACTACCATCACAACAATTTTTTTTTGCTATTTACTATTATCACTACCTGTACCACCATCATTACTCTCTTGGTTACTACTGCTACTACAACCATCACCATTAACATCTCTACTATCATCATCAAAATCAAAATTACCACAAGCACTACCATTACCACATCTTCACCACTACCACCACTATCATCATTATTTCTACTACCACCACCATCAACTTTATCACTACTTCTATTGTTATCATCATTGTTAACATTATCTTTCTTTTTTTGGTGCCAGCCCTGAGGCTTGAACTCAGGACCTGGGCATTGTCTCTGAGCTTCTTTGCTCAAGGTTAGCACTCTACCAATTGAGCCACTTTTAGCTTTTATTTTGATGGTTAATTGGAGATGAGTCTCATGGAGTTTCCTGCCTGGCTTTGAACCTCGATCCTCAAATCTCAGACTCCTGAGTAGCTAGGATTATAGGTGTGAGCCACAAGTGGATTTGTGGCTCAAGTGTTAGCTCAAGCTAAACTTGAGCACAAAAAGCTCAGGGACAGTGCCCAGGCCCTGAATTCAAACCTCAGGACTAGCACAGAAAAAAATGATTTCATTTGTGTATTCAATTTGCATGTAAGATGCAGTTCCTTCTGGGGAGTAAATAAAGGCAGTTTTTTTTTTTTTTAAAAAGAAAGTTTGTATTTTTCCTATCATTTGACTAAAGCTAGACTTTCATTGCAAATGAAAAATTTCAATCCTTCTTATTACTATTGTCAAGTATGACTTGCTTTTTCAAACACTGAAGCTTTTGCTAATAAATTCTGAGAAATCTGATATTTGCTAATTTATAGAATTTAGAAACACTGTTTCAAAATAAATTTATAGAAAGCCTGTTTTGAATGTTAAGGCTTCTGGATAGGTTATTTCTGTTTTCTCCATTAGAAATCAGAAACAGAGCAGAGGATCCTGATTTTATTACAAAGACATGCCTGCAGAGGCTGGAGTTCCTTGAATGCCAGGATGATGGTGTGAAGCAGTGGACATGTGAACAGCATGGACTCCCATCCTACCTTGCAAACCCATCTCTTAGTCTACTGCTTCCCTCCATGTTTCAGTCAGATACAGCTATTTAATGACTACCTTCCAATGCAATTTTGTTTTGAGTAGTGGTTCTTGAAGTTGGCTTAGGGACTTCTGAGAGACTGTGAGATTCTTTTTGGGGTTCTATAAGGTCAAAATTACATCCATAATAATATTGAAATATTTTGCCCCATACTTTTAATTCATCCTGTCAGGAATGTATAGCAATTTCCCAGAAGGTATATGATACATTATGTCTCTAGAGATTGAATGCAGATACATTATGTCCCTAGAGGTTGAATGCAAACACAGACATGAGAATATAGTTGTAACTTCAGCTATGTATTTAAGAGATATACAACATTGTAAAATGATGACACTCTTCTCAACATTTTTTACTTGTTTTGGGGATTTGAACTCAGAGTCTGGGCACTGTACCTGAGCTTTTTGTACTCAAGGCTAGCACTCTACAACTTGAGCTACAGCTCTACTTCTGGCTTTTTGGTGTTTAATTAGACATAAGTTTTACTGCCCAGCCTGACTTCAAACTGTGAGCCTCACATCTCAGGCTCCTGAGTAGCTAAGATTATAGGTCTGAGCCACTGTTGCCTAGCTCTCTAAACAAATTTTAAAGCTAGAAATATTTCCCATCAAAATGGCTACTTACACTAATATGTAATAAGGATACTATTGTTCTGGTGAGTTAAATAAGTACTTTAAATACAGTTTTAAATTCTAATATAAGTAAGTAGCATTTCCTATAATCTATTATTACTTAAATGTATAAATTGTAAGAGTATGAAGGAATACTACTTAAGAGTTTGAGAATGCTGATTTAGAAAATTCACTGAATGCAATTCCTCAATATATGTAAGAGGAAGGATACATATCTTTATTTATTTGTGCCCTTGGCCTTTCATGAAAAACACCCACCAAAACAACAAAAAAAAAAACCCCAAAACAGGCAACAGAAATGTTTGTGTTTACAGGTCCCTGGACTCCTAGTGGCAAACATTCTTTCCTTACATTTGCTCAGTTTCCTTGGTAACTAAATGTAGCTGCCACCTGTGGCCTATTAACAACCTATCCTGGCCAGTGGGATTCCATGGGGAGATGTTATCTGGGAATAATTAGGAAACTTGGTAAGGAAGTTTCCTCAAGCAGGAAATTGGTTCCTCTGGAACTTATTAAACATCCACTCCCCAGTCAAGAGCGTGAAAACATTTACTGAAGTCAGTAATAGTGTTCAAATCTTCTGGGAGCCCTTACCAAAGGCGATTGTGTCAGGACCTCAGGACTCAGAGTTTATTCTTACAGGTTTAGATACCAGCTTGAAGCTTTGATGAGGTAGCAATTAGGTTCAAATGACTCCTGACTTTCTAATGAAGACACACTTTTAAATTTCTCCCTGGGGCTAACATTGGTTTAGAACAAGGGTGTGAGATGTAATTAAAGTCTACTTTAAAATCCACATGTTTTCCATCACCATAGAAGACTATGGTAATAGTTACACAAGGCTTGCCAGTCCTGGAGAAGTTGGCCAGAGTTAAGATAGTCTCAGCCAAATAAGAATTTCTGACAACTTCATCACTCTGAGTTAAATAAAAGGCAATAGAGTTTTCCCCTGGATAACTCTTTGAAGCATTAAGATTTGCCCAATATAAGCCCATAAATCTAAGGTAAAAACCAACAGAGCAAATCTGTAAGCAAGGCACAGGGTGTTTTCCCTGTGAAGAAAAATGCTGAAGACTCCATGGGGTGAAAGGAAAGAATGGTAGTCAGAGAGCCCAGAGATCTTCACCTCTGTGACTTCTGCAACTCGGCCCCAGGCCAAATTCAGCCCCTGCAGAGAGAAATCCCTCTTCTAGACAGAGTGGTGTTGCCACATCTCCTCCTTAGTGCCATTCACCATTTTTCTAGCA